GTTGTGTTGTTCCTACTAAATTTAACCCATGAACGGCATTTTCTGCGAGCCTAACTTCAAGCCACAAATAAACAAACGAAGTGTTCGATCGTTTAAATAGCTGCTCGCCAGATTTTATTGCATTATAAAGAAAAGTTATTGAAACTAAATACAACTAAATAAACAACAACAACTAAAACAAATAACAACAACTACTAATAACAATAACTAAATAAACAACAACTAAATTCCATTCGTTTAGCATTGCGTCATATGTTGTTCCTACTAAATCGAAGTAGTTGTGTTTTTTTCATATTATACCCAATTGATAAAAAAGAAAAAAAAACGGTACAGATTTTGGTGGTTTTATGAAGCTAGCTTCAGTTTCTGAAGTCATGTGATATGCTTTTACTTCTTTTTCCGAAGTCATGTGACATTAACCTCAATTATTGAAGTTTAAGATTGAAGTGAAGTGAACTTCTAGCTGTCTGGCTGGAATGTAAACTTTAGTTCATTTAAGTGGGAAAGTAAGTGATATTATACTAATTCATTTGTAAAACTAAATTTATCGGTATAATTATTTTCTAATGTAATTATTCGCCAAAATAGCTGGGAGGAAATTTATTTATCATTTGTTAGTCTTTCATTCATTAGCTTCTTTATTATTTATAGTTAGAATTAAAGAGTTTTCTCAAACTGTTGGACTGTCATTTTGCAAATATAATTAACAATTAATTCGCTATTAAATATCACCTCTTAAATTTTGTTTATTTTTCTAAAAGCTTTCTTTTAGATGGTTCATATTTTGCTGCATTCCTATTTGTTAAAAATTTCCCACAAAAACTAGCAACATACTTAATATGAGAAGATAGAATCGAATTATTTTGTCCTTAGAATTTAGTCGATATTTTGTAATTTATTTTTTAAATTATTAATCTTATATTGTAAATTATAAGACTAAAAATTAAAAAGTTATTGTCTTTTATATTGTAAAAGTGATGTTACTAAAGTAGCCTTATTGTTTACTTTGGGAAGCAATGTTTACATTCTGTGTTTGACAGTTTGTAATCTACTAGACTGTATTAAAATTATTTCCCTGCAGCGATTCATTTTACTTTTGTAACATTTTCGATACTACTTTTACTTTTAACCAATCAAATTAATATGTTATTGAGTTCTATTTAAAGTCTCAGTTTAAATAGTCACACTTATTAACTTTATACAAGTTTTAATTGTTTTACTGTCCCTTTTTATTTTTGTCTACTTTCACGATTAACTCTCATTCTATGTTCAATTTTGAGATATCTTTTTGAGATAATTTGTAAGAAGAATTTTATTCTCTTACATGTAATTTGTTTAAAAAAAACTATTTTAAAAGTTAAGATTTCTTATAAATTGGTACTAATGGGAACATAATCTAAAGTTATAATGAGTAGCTTCTGTGTTATTACATTCTGTGTTATGTCAACATTTTAAAATAAATAATTTAGTTTTTTTTTTTTTTTTTACTCTTTCCAAATCAGTCATATTTTGAATACTGGAACAAAGTGTCTAAGTAGTTTTGGAATTTTCACTACTCCATCTTTTTTTTTGTCTCTTATATCAATTATTTAAATTTAATATTTTATGTTTAAGTTTAAAATGTCTGTTATTTTGTATATTTTTAGGCAGTTAGTTTGAAATCATTTTACAGCATAGGTTTCGGATAGACTGGCATTTATAGGAACTTTATATAAGGTTATAATTATTCTACCTTGTATAACAACTGAACTTTTAAATCTTTTGTTAATTTTGCATTCAACATAAGTATTTTCAGTACTTTTTGTTAAAGATGTTTTTTAGAGCCTTTTTTTTTGTTACGCTTATAACTAGAAGTAAGTAAAATGGTTTAAAGATAAATTATTAATATTTTAGAGAGCTAGTTCCTGTAGTCTTTATTTTTTTCAATGCATTTTGTAAGTAGCTGTATAGTTTGTTTTCTGTTATTTGTGTTCATAGATTTTTATTCAGTTATTTTTTCTTCCAGTTACATCATTTTATTTCCAATGGACAGCTAAATGACTTTTAGTTGAGTTGCTTGTTTTTATCAGAAGGCATTAGAATTACTATTTAAAACTAAAAATGCCTGTCAGTGGAGGTAAAGTTTTCAAGTCCTATTTATGAATGTTGCATTAAAATAATTTGAGTTTTGTAAATTTTTAATGGGTTATTTTATGTTTTAGGACACTTTTAAATTGTATTAAAATGTTATTTATTTGATTGTATATATTTTTACGTACATATACATATAATTTACTTATACATGTAATTTACCTACATTTACATGTACATATACATTTATATTTTTATACATATTTAAATTGTTATAGCCATATGAACATGCAATATCTTTGTATATTAGTGTTTTATGTATATTTTTCAGAATATGCTTAAATAAATTTGAACTAATAGTATGGGTTAAATGCTTAATATGTAATGTTTTATGACCTACCTGAATGCATATAAAATTTTTAGTATTTTGAGGAGTGAATTTTTAAAGATAGTTATTAGGAGATATAATTCAGTCATGTAAGCTCTGTTTAATAGAAATGCAACAAATATTTTGCTACAGTCAAATGTTTTCCTTATTTCCACAGTTTACTAAATGTTTGGCTTTGGCCAGATACCATATCTATTATAGCTTGTCTATATTACTTAAATACTATGTCAATTATGGGCTTGAATGGATATTTTTGTGAATGAATGTTTCTTGATGTATTAGTTTACATTTAAATTCGGTGGCTGAGCGGTAGCGCTTCCCGTTTCCATGCCACAGGTCTTGGGTTCGATCCTTGGGCCGGGCAAGGTTGACTCAGCCTTTCATCTCTTCAGTGGGTTGATAAATGAGTACAAAGCATGCTTGGGAACTAAACACTAGGGGTTCCGTGTTTGGCTGACCACCCAACCGGAACATCTGCTCTTGCACCTCAGAGCCCAAGGTCAAGAAAACTGAGATGGGCGCAGTAGGCCTTGGCCCTCTATGGGCTGTCGTGCCGCTGAGTTTTTAGTTTAGTTTACATTTATCATATTAGTTTAAATTTTTTCATATTAGTGAAATTTATTGAGAATTAATTAATATTTTTATTTTTTTAATTCTAAATGAAATTTAGAAATCCATCTTTAATAAAGATGATAAAAGCATTAAGCCTATTTGTAGGATCTCAGTTCTAAAATCGTTTGTAATGACTTGGTAGGTAGGTACTGTTTTTACGTCACACTAGAGCTGCATAATGGGCTATTGCCGACAGTCAGGGAAACATTCCCGAGGCTGATCCAAAGACATGCCATCGCAATTTTGATTCTCTGCAGAGGGGATGACTCTCCTGCTTTGGTAGCCAGATGACCTGCATGCAAAGTCGAGCACTTTACGCCAAAATAGTCTAACGAGGACCGAAACCGCGCTACCTCGGTCCATACGCAGACTGATCAAAGTGGTCACCCTCCCACTTACTGACCTGAACCAGAGACGCTTGACTTCAGTGTTCAACTGGGAACAGTGTCTTTACAATCAGTTCACTACAGAACTGTAATTACTTAGGCAATAATGCAATGTTGAAAATGCAATGCTCTTTTAATCTATAACAAGCGGCTTATTTTAAAACTGTTATGTTACAATTTATGTTAGTGATTTCCTTTAGAGATGTTTTTCAATGAGCTACATTAATTTTGAAGCTGTTAAATTTTATTTTTAACCAATTATTTGTAGTTCCATATCTTTTCTCTCATTGTTTACTTAATCTCAAATTTTTACAAATTATTTTTTAATGAGGATATAATATTTCAACACATTTGTATTGAATTAAAAAGCTTACAATATATTTATTTAATCATTTTTAACAGTATTAAATTTAGTGCAAGTCTAGTTATACTTTCAAATTATTTTTTCATTTGCATTATTTCTATTCAAACTCATTTTGGTTATTATTTAGAATTAGCTTTGTATTTTACAAAATATTAATAATGGATTCATTAAAATTTTAAACTTTACTGTGTATTTTTATATCTTCATGTGAGTACTAATTTATATTTTAATATTTACAATAAATGGAATAAATGTAATTTTTTTTAAAACTTATAATCACTTTTCACTAATATAGAAGTATTTAAATATTAACCTTTTAATTATAGAAATTTGTTTCACTTAGTAAGAGTGCTCTATTCTCTTACCAGAGTCTGCACAGAGTCACAATGTACTTTTATGTAGATATCTAAAATAATTCTGATTATAAAATATACAAAAAATTTATTATTCACAATTTTATGCTTAGTATATAATTTTACTTATAAATTATGCATTTTTCATAGCATTGTCTCCAAATCATCCTCAGGGATGTTTCCCAGAATGTCACCAATTGCCCATTGTGCAGCTCTATTGTGACATAAATAAAAGTATTGTACTGTATCATAGCATATTATGTTGAGTTGTTATTTTGAGTGCATATCCGAAATTGGGAACATTTCAAAATAGAGAATATTAGCCTCCATGAACATTCAGGATTCGGGGTCTCATGCTGTAAAAGTTTCTTATATAGAAAACTTTGTTTAGAAAACTAAAATGTTTACTTTATTATTAAATTTAACAAGTTTTTAATTACAATAATTAATTTAGTTTCTATGTAGAAATCATGTTTTATTTATATTTAAAAAAATTCAAATAGATATTTCCAGTTAAATAAACTACAGATCGCATCCAGATCAATGTTTTAAAATTGTTTTTCTAATATTTAATAATTGATATTCTTATAATTTTTTTTTCTCAATAAACTAGATTTTGTTTTGACAGCATTGCAAATACTGCTTAGTTTTTTTAGATAGTTAAAACTAGCTGTATTTGAAAATAAGTTGCTACTAAAATTTTTTCAATTTTTATCAATGAATAAATCTTAAAGCTGAAATTCCTTTCTTAAATGTGTTGCTATAGTTTTTAAGTATAATTATTTTATTCTTAACCTCTTGTGTTTGCAAGAAATTAACTTATGCTCTTAAAAGAGCAGAAAATTATAACTTACTGTGAGGCATAAATTGTCTGTTTAGAAACCAAAGCAATCTTTCATTTCTGTTGTAATTGCCTTCTTTCATTTCTGTATAATTGTTGACTTGTAACATCATTGTTGAAGAATTAGTAACTATAGCATTTCGACCTGCGTGGCATGTCTTTCGAGCACTAATGGTTAAAAGTTGTCTCACTTTATTATTCAAAAGTTTTCTTTTAATTTTATTTTCAAAATTCTCTTATTTTACACTCTTTAAAATTATTTTGTTATTATTTGTCATTTAACTTTATCACTATTAAATAAGGAATTTAAGTTTTTAAATTAGTTTCATAAAATAGAAATAAGAGCAATAGTATTTAGCAGAAAATATCTTATAATTTTTACGCTACACTAAAATCACAATAGTAGTTAAACTGCCTTTAAAATGAATAGAACATTAAAGCATTTTAAAATTGCTTCATGCAAAGTAATTTTAATTTATATTTTATCTTAAGTTCGACTTTGCTATTGATGAAAACTGCTTTTAAAAAAAGGAAATTTTTTTTGTTTGTTAGTGTTTTATTTTGCTGTACAGTTTGCTTTGCTTCAAGGGAATTTTAAAATAAGTCAATGCAAGAGTTACAATTTTTTTTAGGCTATGGCACTCTTAATAATCGAGCATCTTCTGGCAAAACCCTAGGATCCTTTTTTTTAAATATTTTTATAAAGTTCATTAGTAGCCTAAAAAGAAACAGCTAATTTCATTGAAAATATTTCATATGAAGAAAATATTTGAAATTATGAATTCGTTTTTCATGAATGCATATGGTGGCAATGAATGAAATAAGCTGAATGATGGTTTTCAAAAAAGAGCTGTGATAAATGTTGAGAATAGTGATCAGAAATTAATTTCTTTTTCCTTGATTTTTTTTAAATTAAAAAGTTTGATGAGAAATACTTATGAAATTTTTTATAAATGTGTCTTAAATATATTATTGAAATTTTTAAACATTTTCTTCTCTTTATTATTGGCATTATACATAAATTTATTTTATTTAATTACTACTTATTTCATAATTAATTCACATTTATTTTTCTTTAGATACTCGGCAAGCTTTAAAGCTTCTTGAACGAATCCAAGACCATTTGCAGAAATCTGAAGCTGCACAGTTAAATCCTACCGTTGGAGATGATCTCACTACCTTAATATCAGTTTTAGACAGTCCAGTTTTTAACAGCATTTTAAATATTCAGGTATATTTTATTTGACTGCTTTTGTCAGTGTTATATAATTTGTATGAACAGGTTTATGGATTACTATATTCTCTGCAGTATAAAGTGTATCTACATGGCCAAAAATAATTAAACTATGAACTTTTTGAGGTTTGCTAATTAGAATTCCTTTTTTTTTTAAATATATTCATTAAAAAAACCAACAAGTTTGATAAAAAATAAACACAAAAATATCAAATAGCCAAAAAATCTTTAATTCAACTTGAATTTTTTTTATTGAAACAATAAAATATTGAATGAGGTTTACCAAGTTATTTATGAATCCATATAATTTTACTTAAGGAATTATTTAATTTGAACACTTAAAGTCTATAAAAACCTTATTCGAGTTTGCATTTTCCAAAAAAAAAAACAGTTTAATATATGTTTTCAATTATGTTAGCAATTATGTTTTAAATTGTGATTATATCACATTCTTAAAATCTGCATTGAAATCTGTGGGTTTTCTACAAAACTTTTGCATACATTATATATAAAAATCGTTCTTAGATAAAAGCATTTGCTTACTAATGCATTTATTAAAACCTTAATAGACACTTGATTTCATCTTTTGTTTTAGACATTGCAAGTTTTAGGTCCTTCTAAATATTTTAAATCATTAAAACAAATATACTGATGCGAGACATATTTTTTATATTTCCTCTAAATTTTTTTACCAAACCTAAGTATGTTCATTATAAATTATGTACTGAATAATAATGTGTTTGTAATATGTAAGAGTATATGTATAAGTGTATATGTTATAATTTATGGGCTGAATTTTTTACCTGGGTACTATGAATTAATAAATTGCATTATTTATGTGTATAATATAATTATAAGCATGTTTATTTTCAATACATAGAATTTGGTGTTCTGTTTATATTAAATAGTACCTAATTGTTTAATAGGCTAACCCTGTAATTTAATCTTTTTTTATTATCAAAAAATATTTGAAATTTAGGTATTAATTTCATTTTTTATTTAAGCATTTTCTGAAATTATTCTTTCATATTAATAAAATTATGAAATTTAATATTTAATTTTATCTAATGCTCCAATAATTTAAATAGTTCACCTTTCATTTAGAAAAAGCAAAGGATATGATGACCATTATTGAATATTTCTAGTGCTAAAGCCTTCAAAATATTTCTATAAATTTTATCTGCAAACTACGATATAAAGCTTGGCATAACCATTTGGAGATTATCTATTAATCTGAAGTCCAACTCCTAAATTAATTACACAATATTCTGAATCAAATATGCATCCAAAAAGAAGTTAAGAGGTTTAATTTGTCCCGTAGAAATCAACTAAACAAATATGTATATTTTTCATTCAACTGTTATTATTTTATTTCAAATAATTATAAAAAAAGTGCTTTATGTTTCATATTGAATTTACTCCCATTCATACACTAACGCAAAAGTTGGATTTTTAAATTGATTGCAGAACTTAATATAATTTTTTCTTCAAATTAGAAGACATAGCAAAAGGAAAAAAAATAGCTGTACGCAAGCACCCAACGGTTTGGATCTAAGCTCACCAAATCACTAATGATCTAAGTCATAGATTCTCAACCTGTTTAACGTTGCCACCCCCTTAATAAGCAAAAAACATGTCAACGCCCCCCTTTGTGGTAATCCAGTTATTTAGAGCATGAGGGCGGTGGGGTTGCGCTGAATTATAAGATGCATTTTTAGGCAATTTTTTAAACGTTAAATTTGCTTGTTTTTTTTTAAAAATTTAATGTGCACGTTAACTCGATAATTTTCTCCAGGCAGGTAATCACAGTCTATTTGTGATAATAAAAATAAATACGGTAATGAAAAAAATAGTACAACAAAGAAAACTATACTTAAAAAGAGTCACCTGTTCTTAATTAGATAATTAAAAAAACACCCAAAAATAAAAGTAGTATTAACGAAACAATCAAGTTACTATGTCAGTGGAATGATTGTACTTGATGGTTCATAACCAATTTCTTAACGTTCGGCTCAATATTTTTGCTGAGGTGAAGTCGCAAGTTCCCTCGTTGCATCATTTCGTGTCTATTTCTCTTTATTGTGACTTGATCCATAACAGCACTGAATCCACGTTCGACGAAGTAGGAGAAAGGGAAGGAAATTGAAAATAATTTTGAAAATAAGAATGAATTTTGACAGTCCAGAGTAGAGGCAACTGATGTTACCTTGAATCCAAAATTCTGTGAGTTATCACCATTTCAAAGCTTCATTAGTTGAAAGTTTGACCGATTCCTCCTGAATCTGAACCTCTTCTGTTTCAATATTCAAAAAAGGGTTAATAACCCATTGAAGGAAACAGAACAAAACATATTTATAACGGTCAGAAAAGTCCATGTGCAAAGAGTCAAGATGTTAACTATATTCTTGGGAGGAACATCAGAGGAAATTTCGCCATTCTTTTCAAGATACGATAAGATTTGAAATTGGTTGAACTCATTCCAACCAAATTTCTGCTACCAAAAAATAAGTTTTTTTAGAAATGTAGAAATAACTGATTTCGTAGGGATCAAATTGAGTTTGTCACCTTGAAGTTGCAAATTAACACCATTTAATTTTGCAAGTAAATCCACCAACGTCTATCTTAAATTCTAGCAATCTGTCTCTCAGAGCTACATTCTGTCTTCGAGGAACTCAAGCACAGAGTCGAAAAGATTCAAGAACCTATTGAGACAAGGCTCCTTTGGAAAGCCAGCGAATCACGGTGTAGTAGCAAGCGATATTCTTCATAGTTTTTCTTAGACAGCTGTCTGAGTAATCAATCGTTGAGAACATTACTGCGAATTTTGTTCGCAGCAGATATAACATATTGCAATGACTGATGCAAACGGTCGCTGAGGTTTTTTCTTATTAAATACTGTCTGTGAATCACGCAGTGAACTGCTAAAATATCTGGTACCACCCTCTTCAAAACGGCGAAAAACCCACCATGTCGACCCACTATTGCAAGGGATATTTTTGATTAAATCGGATGAGGCTGGATAGTGTAAAACTGTTCCTAAAACTTCCTTAACAGCCGGCAGTATCAATTCTTTGCCGATGGTATGACATTTCCCAGATTTAGCAATTAATTTTGATATATTATAAGAACTTATCAAACCATCATCGCATTTTTGTGATTAGGTTGTCAGTAAGCCTGAGGCCAAAGGTGCCTTCAGAAACTTGTCTTTGATATTCGTGAAAAATGACAAATCTTTATTTTGTTTGTGAGGATGAATATTTTGCAAATGCTTCTGCTAACGAGAAGGCTCCATTGTCTCATTATATTAAACTTTGTTATAAAATAAATTCATGGGTAGTTGAGAGTTCGAGGGCGATTGAACAAATCTAAACTTCAAGTACGTGACACTGTATTGAATACACTTCTTTATGTTAACCGACATTGTTGGTGGCAGCAAAATACGAATGAAAGAAAATCAACTGTTTTTTCAAATTAATAAATAATTTACGATTAAGAACTAATTCACAAACGTACCTGGCCAAATAAACAATGAAATCGAATCGAAACTGGGTAAAAAACTGCTAGGAAGCAAACTAAACCATCATAAGAAACACGGGTCAAATCGAACATTTTTACAAAAAGCGCATGCACTTTAATTCTCACCAAATGGCTGAAATGAGTCAGAGGCAAAAACTACTGACTCATGCGCTGCGCTGTGCTTACTTACTTACTTTATTTAAAAACAACTGGGCACCTGGACCGCGCAGCGGCCCCTATCCCATTCATCATGAAATTACAACAATGAGTTAAAAACATTTTGAATATAAGCAGTCGTTGTGGTAGCTTTACAATAATATTACCATGATTAGAGAAAATACAAACTTGAACAGAGATATTTACAGTAATTGCCTATGCGCTGTGCTGATTCGGATCGGAGAATATGTATTGCATAAGTTCGTTTTACTGCTGGTACTAATGTTGTATCAGATAATCTAAATTTATTATATTAATTTAATCTTTGTTTTCTTTATCATTAATTTTAGATTAATTTTATTTACTAAATGATTCTTAATTTTAGAACTTTATTTGGGAGTATTAAAATTAAATTTGAATAACATAACCTGCTCATCGCCCCCTACCGCCCAAAGCATACCTAACGCCCCCCTGCCGTCCAAAACAAGTCCACCGCCCCTCAGCATACTCCCAACGCCCCCAGGGGGGCGTTATCGCCCCTGTTGAGAAACACTGATCTAAGTGAAGATGTAATTTCATGCAATTGTAAAAAAATAAAACCTAATTTTGAAATAAAACATATCAAGCTGCATTTAGTAAGTGAACAGCCAAAACAAATTTAAACCTTTAAAACTGTAAAACCAGTTTTACTCTTTACTAAAAAATATTGGCAAGCAGTGCATGTGATATTTTTATAATTATCTTGGCTTCTTTAGCCTCACTGAAATGTGTCCTTAATCTTTAATAGGAATCTTCCCCCTCCTTTTTTTTTAAAAATGAATTATTGTTTAAGGCTGTAAATAAAGTATTAAAATAATTTATTAGATTTAACATTTAAATTATTTGATAATTTTAAAATGAATTATTGAAATGGTTTTATTAAATTTAAATTCTAAGTTTTGCTAATGTGCACAAGCAAAATATATATATATATAAAAAATCAAATATTTATACACATTCTTAAAAAATATTTCAATGATTCTCTTGCACCCTGTGAGAAAATTTCTGTGGAAAGCCCTTTGTCAAGCATCATTTTATTTCAAATAGTAAATAAAACATTTTAATGAACATGATTTTTCAGGTTGAGACAGATTGATGTAAATTTAAATTTTTGTCCTCATTTCTAGTAACACTACTGTTAATAGTAAATTAATTCATAATTTTAATTTGTAAATTTTTTAATTTTCTCCATAGGATTCACTGCAAGAATTGAAAAGGCAACTGCATAAACATCCTTCCATCTTGCCCGTTGACTTTGACATATCTCCAAACACTGGAGAGCTTCTTTTAAATTTGCCATCTGAACCAATCCCTATGCAAAATTCAGACTCCTATGAACCAAGCTCTGAAGCTGAACACAACTATGAATATAAAAGTCAGATTCCAAAAGCAATAAATATGGATGATATCAATGCAGGAGTTGATGTTTTAAATGTAAGCCAATTTAAATTAAGAATGTTAATTAAAAAATTTTTTGAAGCATAATCTTTTTTCCTTATCCTTTTCTTAACCTCTGCTTATAGAAGAAAAAAAAAAAAATCCAGTTGACCCCGTATGTGTTTTTACATGTTTAAAATGTAAGTGATTAGTACAATAATAATTTAAACAAAATGAAACAGAGTTAAAATGGGGAGAAGGTAAAAAATTTTCATCAGTACACTTTTCGCAAGGAAGAAAGTGGATTTAATATTTTTATAAATTATGTTTAGAATTAACATATTAAGGAGTTAATTCCCTTAAGACCATTTATATATTGTAACTCTCAGTACAATTGGCCTTTTATTTATTTATTATAATGTTAATAACACATGTTTTATGTATTTTCATTAAAAACAGACTATAAATGGCATAAAAAATTTACTTTGAGCATGCATCTTCTCATTTTTTTAAAACTGTGCCACAATTTTTTGGAATAGTTTTTTAGTTTCTTAAAATATTTAAAATTTCTTATTTGTTAACTACAAGCCTTAGTGTCTGATAAGCTTTGATGTTAATTTTATTCTGTTTAATGATAGGTAAAATGTAAATTACTACATTAACTTAAATTAAATATTTTTGTAACATAAATGGAATCAATATATTTATGTAATCTGAAAGTATGCAAATATTATTATCTAAGTAAATAAAGATTTTTTGGGGCACATTATTTTATCCATAAAATATGACTGTTACTTAGTATTCAACTTATTCATTAAACTATTAAACAATGGTATAATATAGTTTCCCAATCAATTGAAAAATGAAAATTTCCTTAAAACTATTTCAGAAAACAAAAATTTCATAGTTCAATCTAAAATGAATTCCTGTTTTCAATATGAATAGTGGAAAATGTTCCACTTACCTTTAGACCGCCAATTTGATGATTCATAAACCTTTATTGGTTTTAATTACAAATAGATGAAGATGAATTTACATTAAATGGTAAATGATAATTATAAAGTGATGAAAACATTTAGTTAGGTATTAGCGTTGCATAGCGCGTCTCTAGTTACATTACATCTACTGTTTTTAAGTTTTTGAAAAAATAAAAGTTATTACTTCTGTTGCGCCTGCGGCGCCATCTGGGGATAGTTTTCTGGTATGAGGGGGATGAGGGCTCGTTACAATAGTGTTGAAATTTGAATCTTCCTGAGACTGTTTTGATATAATTATGTATATTACAGGAAAAAATCAATCAATTTCTATTATTTTCTTGTAGTACTATGTAAGCATTTGTTTTGCTTATTTCTGCTGGTAAATCTAAAATTTAGGCTTTTTAATATTGTTGTGATTCCACTTTAATTGTGCCAGTACAGTAAATGATAGTTTTATATATATTAGTGATTGTTTGTTAGATTCATTTGTTTAAATACTTATTTTTATTTAGTGTTGTGGGAATAGTAAACAAAATTTCTGATATTGTGCAAATTTATATACATTGCATTTGTATAAAAAATATGTATCTACATTTTTTTTAATAGGTGCTTAATTTTATCAACTATTAAGATTTATATTAACTATTATAACTTTATCATATAATAAATTTTATATAACAATATATTATATTTTCAATATTTTACGATAGTCTTATTTTCACTTATATAACTATTTTATGGTCTGCTTATGCAACAAACCTATAGTTGGCTTTTTATTTTAGTTTTTCTTTATGTTTTATACTCCGTATTAATATTTTTAGGTTTCATCTCATATCATTGCTCCTCCTGAATACGTTTTGTCCGCAATCACAACTGAAAGTTACGCTGAAGAATTTCAACGAACTATTGATCAGGGAGCTCAAGGTCGTGATATTCACACATTGCAATTATTTAAGCCTGAAGGAAGTAGTTTAGGTTTTAGTGTTGTCGGATTGAGGAATGAAACTAAAGGAGAATTGGGCATTTTCATTCAAGAGATACAACCGAATGGGATTGCTGGAAGGTCAGTTAGCTCAATGTTATTTCTTTGTATTCACAGGGTATCCGCGTACCTGGAAAGTCATGAAAAGCATGGAAAGTCATGAACTTCGGTATTGAACAAAATTTGTCATGAAATGTCATAATTTTGACTATTTTTAAAAAAATCATGGATTTAGGTCCCCGAAAAATTTTATTTTTAAAATGGAAGCCCCCCCCCCCCAATTTCATGGTGTTCCGAATATCTGAATTTGTAACAAAATCAGATGTAATAACTTAGTCATATTTTATAAGAACATAAAAGTTTTTATCATGTTCTTTAAAAAGAAAAAAAAAACATCTTTGAAAAATGAAAGAAAAAGCATAATTTCTCGAGCGAAGTATCTCTTAAACTTCTGTGATTTCAGAATTGTTATTATTTTTTATTTTATCAATTTAAAATTCTAGCTGAAGCAGGCCAGTCATTGGCAATTTTTTTTAAATTCTGAAATGAGAACAGAAAAATCAGGAGTATTTCTTTCCTTCCTGATGAACAAGAAAAGTATCTTTAGAATATAATTCTGCAGAAAAATAAAATATTTGCTCAACTATTATTTTTTCAGCTATTTTATTGCTTCAACTCTTTCTTTACTCTGTTTTTTAAATTTAAAATCAATAAATATAAAGTTGCAGAGTATAACAGTTTTGGTTATACCTATCATTTTAATTAATGTTATTATGATGCTTTTTAAATTTATTATTCTGTTTTTGTCAGAGAAAATAGTAACTTCGTTAAGTCATGAAAAGTTCTTGAAATTAGTCATGGAAAGTCATGAATTTGAAAATCTAAAATGTAGCTGTATTCAGCTGTAGTTAGATGTTTTGTTGAAATATATTGTTCTTATTAGTGAAATATATTGTTGGCTTTCTATTCTATTTTTTCTTTACATCAGCTTACTTTGAAAGTTTCTTGGTTATTAGATTGGCCTTTCTATTGAAGAGTAAAAATTTAGCTGTAAAATTTTTATTATGTAGGAAAAATAATTTAATGTAACTCAGTTTTTGTTTCTGGTGAACGCTAGTGCTATACACTGGAAAAATTTGCATTTTTATGTGCATAAAAATTATAGTAAATTTTGTACTTCTATGCACAGTCAAACTCTTTTATAACAAGTAGAGAACGAGATATTGGGATTGTGAAACCAGAGTCTGCCAAAATTATGTATAGAAATTTTTTAAAACTCCTTACTTTATTATTTTTTGTTTACTTGGATTCAAATGCTTGAATTTTGGCTTCTGTTCAATGTACAACAATTTTAACAAGAAATCCATTTTCGTTAACACCTATTAACTCCAAAAAAGGCAAGCAATTTCTTGACAAACTTAGTTTCTTATACATTATTGACATATTTGAAGAGCAATATTAAAATTTTAATCAGAAAAAAAAGAGGATCTGAAACCATAATCATATGTCGTTATCTGAAAGATTCCATTTAACAAAGCAATCAAAAATAAGCAATCTAGTAAACAATTTTTGATTTAGTGAAATAAATTTAGCATTGTTCATCTTGAACTTTTGATTGTTGCGTTAATCCTTTTTTATTTACCCCTTCTATTTGAGAGAATATATGCATTCAAATTTTGGGAAGTTTCAAACTTTTTTTTTGATCCCGTCAACTTCGAATTATCCTGGTTTGATTGTTGTAATCTTAATTTGATAGGTTAAAGCCTAGTTAACCTTTATAGGTTAACTAGGCTTTAGGATATGATAAACCTTTATCTAAAGAGTAATACTTGCAATTTTTTTTGTTTTGTTTCACTTTGGACATTTAAATTTCCTAAAACAATTGTTTAGTAATTAGGTTTTATTTAGAATTATATGAAAATTAAGGAATAAAGAAAATTTTCAACTTTAAAAAAATTCAATCATTAAACTACATTAATAGGCTTTTTTCAATAATAGTGGTGCCATACTAACGTTATTTGTGTCATAAATATAAATCTCTTTACAGGGCAGAACATTAATAGCTCTAGATATAATTCGGAAATAAAATGTAACCTTTATTTTTCTATTTTTATTTAACATTACTTTAATTAGTATTTAATGCTATGCTTTATGAAGGAGTATATAAATACTAATATGACACACATATATATACTTCTACAATTTGTAAGAGTTTACTGTTTATTACAAACTAAAAAATATATTTTTAGAATGTAGTGACAAGAAATGTCATATCATAGCAAAATGGTGAATGATCACGGATTTTTATTATTTAAAATTGCTATATATTTTTAAAAAAAGGCTTTTAAAGAATGAATTAACTTGATTTGTCACAATTTTTATTAAGTAAAGGTAAACTAATAATTTCTTATAAAATGTTAGCATGTAATAATTAAATTAGTATAATTTTAACTCAAATTTGTTATTCTCAAAAAGGTTCTTTAGAAACCGGAAATTTTTCACAATGTTTGGGTTTGTTACATTGGTTGGAGTATTAAGCCATTGACTAAAATATAAAAACATTGGAGATTAGTAAATTTTCTGTTTAAAATTATTTCTCAGGTAAAAGTTCAAATAGGAATGAGTTGGCAAGGATTTTGGAAATTTTAAATCTTTCAAACGTATGTCATTTTAAATAAATGAGTTAAAAAAAAAGAATCTTCATGGAAACTTGTTAAAAAAATTCTGCTGTTTATGATTATTTTAGTTATATAAGGGGCGATAAGTATTTATATATTTCAAGTGAACAAAGTAACTGGCTTTAATAAATTATCAAACAAAAGGGCACATTTTACATGGTTGAGAAAGAATGACTATAGCACAAAAACATTTATGATTGCAGACACTTTAAACTTCTAAAGCTTCTGCATATTTTAAATTACATTGAAAGCGTATTTTAATTTAAAGAAGCTGCATTTTTATTTAGTTAAGGTTTTATGACATACTTCTCATTGCTTTCATGATGTTATTATCAATTTTCATTATGTTCACAAATAGTTTTAAAATAGTTGTGAAACCTTTTAAGCTCTTTTGTTAATTTGGTGCTAAAGCAAAGATTACTTTTAATTTGTAATGCAACAAACATTACTGATGTTAACAAATAGGTTGTGTTTCCATTTTTTATTAAGTTGTGCAATTTCTCACTTGTAATTTTGGTTGTGAAAATAATGAAAACCCATAAAAAGTAAATCTATTTAATATGTGTCTAGTTCAAAAGACAACACAATGTTTAGGTCATGCATAACCAATCTCACAGCAGCTGCTTATGCGCAATATAGTGTGTTAGTGCGAAGAAAAGTGCATAGTAACTAAGATTCATGTTCATTAAATACTGGTGATTTGCATAACTGTCTCTCCAACGAACTTGCAACGGCTTGAAAAAGCAGGGAAACAAAACTGGCTGGATGAAGAAAAAACCACATTTGACGCAATTATTGTGTAACTAATTTTTGGGTGGTGACTAGATTTGGAATCTTAAATATATGTCGGTAACTTTAGACCATGATATTATTATTCTTATACATTTGTACTAATATTTTACTTATAGTTTTTTAGTTACATAATATTTTTGATCTTTCAAATTGATCTATAGTTAATAAGTCATTAGGTTAAAAAACAATTCAAGTTCAAGCTATTCTAATTTCTTCGACAGTAAAGGTAAAAATTAATCTTTCTTTAGAATAGTGCAAAGATATAATTTTTTTCATTTTCTTTACACAATGTAATTTTTATTACCATTATTTATAAGTTAAGTAGTAATTTAATTAGAAAAATACTTTCATATCTACAAGCTTGTTCTTCTTTGGCACTGCAGCTAAAAACAGGCTATAGCAGTCTCAGTCAGCTGCTGCTATTGTTGCTTAACTGGCACCTCAGGAGTTACAATTTCTAACAACTATCACACTAAGATCTTTTTCAACAGTGTTAAACCACAAAATAGGTGGCTACCCTCTTGGGGAATCTTCTTTTTTGTTTTCTGGTCTTCTTTACTCTACAAGTGTCAAGCCATCTCATATAATAAACTTTTATGATGCAAGGATTTTTGAATTTGTGTTATTCCACTCCTTCATGATCCGGCACCAACTTGATCAAATTCATGAGTCTATGAACCCTGGCAAAATGCAGTTGCTAGGGTAAGTCTTTAAGTTTTAGATTCATACAAGTGAGAATGTGATTGGGAGAAGCTGGATTGATTGATCAAGCCCTTGATGCATGTAGGAAAGACATGAATTTTAATTTGTTGTAAAGTTCATGATTGTCAAGTGTTTTTGTTCTCAGCACCATATTTTTTTCTTAAAATGTTCTCTAATACCAGCTGTTTATCTTCTGCTGTAAAAGGTTGTTTGTTTAAAATGGACCTAATTTCACATAAATCTCAATATTGAATAGCAATGGGTTTAAAATAGAAATTAGTATTATTAAGACACTTATGGATAGTGGACACGTATGCCACCCAAAATGCTTTAGTGTGTCACTCATGACATGCATGTCATAGGTTTGTGTAAGACTAAAAATATGATCCAGAGTGTATTTATCTGCACATAATCCACATTGATGGTCACCAACTATATTTTTTTTACATAAGGACCAGATGTGTTGTATAGTAATTTGAAAAAAAACTTCATAGCAAATGGATAGTAAACTTAATCCCCTATAGTTTTTACAAATCAAAGAATCTCCTTCCGAGTAGATTAGATATATAATGTTTTTGGTATTTTCTTGGTAGCCTAAACATTCTGAATAATTCTATGGAAAAATTCTAGTATTTTTTATAAGTTTCTTCTAAAAGCTTTGTAGTTTTTAAGCTTCCTGACAGCAGGCAGTGCTTGCAGATTTGGTAGAACTAATTCCCGGGATTCAGTCAAGATTTCTTCCTATTGTAATGCCAAAATAACAAGCGTTTTCACTATGCTTTAAGGATTGCTCAAAATGCTGAACCATTCTTTCTGAAATGTGAGCTTTCACTAAGGATATTACTTGCTTTACTTCTGCAAAAGTTGATTTTAGATTTTCTTCGATGATAAACGACTCTTGAAATAACG